GGCGCCTATGTCAGTGGTCTAATAACTCTTAGCGTGCTAATGGCATAGTTCCCCTGCCGCATAGAAAGTTGCCACAATGATATTAGGTTAGCTAAGGTCAGTTAACTGACTGGTGGGAAACGGGAGCTTAAGCAATGGCTATTCTGTATGCATTTAAGAGATAATCTACCAGAATGGATGATTTTTTTGTACAATTTTATGTTTTCTGATGGTTTTGGTTGTGCAAAACATGAGAATTAACTTTTCCAATGCTTTCAATTGTACAAAGCATTACAGCTAGAAACATGATCTTGTAAATACTACAAACCTTAACTGGTAGTTTGCTAAAAAAAATGCTGCAACAATCGTCAAGCTCGCTGTAATGTCACCAAGTGCCTCGTCACCTACAAATTGGCGCCTATGTCAGTGGTCTAACAACTCTTAGCGCGCTAATGGCATAGTTCCCCTGCCGCATAAAGAGTTGCCGCAATGATATTAGGTTAGCTAAGGTCAGTTAACTGACTGGTGGGAAACGGGAGCTTCAGCATTGACTATTATGTACGCATTTTTATGATGTTATCTAACAATTATGGTGTGTAGTGTTTACACGATCATGTTTCTAATTCTAATGTGTTGTAAATATAATTGAAAGCATTTGAAAAGTAAGATTCTAGTGTTCTGTATATCTAAAAACATGTTCTCTGATGTTTTCAGATGTACAAAACGTTTAAAGGAAACGTTGTTTGAATGTTTTCAAATGTAGATGTTTATACATTTGAAAACATTCAAACAACGTTTACTTTAAACGTTGTGTACATCTGAAAACATCAGAGAACAACAAACACGAAGTACAATTGAAAACATCAGAACAACGTTAAGTTCTAACGTTGTGTACATCCGAAAACATCCAAAAAACGTTTGGTTCTAGCATCAGGAAACATCTACGTTAGAAAACATCAGAATACATTTACATATAAAAACATACCAACAACGTTTAGTTCTAACGTTTTTTACATCCGAAAACAACCGAAAAACGTTTGATTCTAACATCAGGAAACATCTACATTAGAAAACATCTGAAAACATTTACATATAAAAACATCCGAACAACGTTTAGTTCTAACGTTTTTTACATCTGAAAACATCCAAAAACGTTTGGTTTTAACATCAGGAAACATCTACATATGAAAACATCAGAAAACGTTTACATATAAAAACATCCGAACAACGTTTAGTTCTAACGTTTTGTACATCCGAAAACATCCTTAAAACGTTTGGTTCTAATGTCAATAGATTGAAATTTTTGACGTCAGACCGACATTAGAATGGCAAAATTTTGTTCCAAAAGTTCTGATGTATACACCATGTTACGTTGCTTAAATACAACTAAATCATAATGTTTTCTAATGTTTGACATCAGGCATACATTTGATTTCGATGCTGATGTAGACATCAAAATCAAACGTTGGGCTAATGTAAATTTCTATTCGGGCAGTTGTAAATGTCAAGCATTTTTCCAAAGGGTCGAAATAACTAACAAATCCGCCAATTACGTAAATGCATATGCTGCTTCCCCAACACAGTCATCAGATAATCGTTTATAGACGAAACATGTCGATGTAGCATTGCTGCTTACCCAACAGAGAGTCGTTAATAGATGAAACAAGTCGAAGTGGCATTCGCCTCCGATCTTCGGGCGTATGCGAATAGGGAGAATGCAATTGCGTAACATTTTGCACACTCATCGCCATATTCAGAGCCACACGCCTACAACGACCACATCAACTGCTCTCGGAAGCAAGGGTGCAAGTGATTTTGATCGACTTTATCGAACTTCTGTTTCGTTAATAATGATAGAAGAGCATAGCAGAAATAGTGCGAAAAAGGTTAGTGAAGCCACAGACAAACAGACATAACACATTGAACATTTCTCACTGTAAAACATCTTCGCTAAAACATTACCGCCATCTGTAGAGTACACTGTGGTGGGTAGTACGCTGAACAGATGGCGGTAGTGTGTAAACGTCAAATGCAAGGGAATTGACTATGCGCGCTACAGGTGGCGGTACTACCAACTACGATACTTTTAAACTGACCGTGAAAAGCATGTTCGATGAACAACTTGCAAGAGTTATGTCTGTTTGTCTGTGGTGAAGCCATGGTCATCAAAAGAGGAAATCGATGAAGAGAATTGACTTTCACCCTTCTGCTTCTAAGCCCTTTAATAAAATGGGAGGAGCTTTAGCACTGATATTCTACCGGCTGTTTCTATACAACGCATAATTTAGTGTAGAAAGGCACAGCAGATGAAGTGTATGATAAAATACCCAAAATTAGTGGGGCATGATTTTCTAGCTTTCGAAAAATGATTATTTTTCATGTCCGATTGACAAGCGACAAAACCGTAAAAAAGGAGGAATTTCAACTGATATGCCTTTAATTGTTGCTTTTGTCCATACAGTAACTGACCGAAGCACCTCCCATTTGGTGGTGTCGTTAGCATCTAGTGTTTCGCCGAATCTATGTGTGGAAGTAGAACCATCGCGACCAAGGGCGTAGCCAGGTTTCGAGCTAGGGAGGAGCGAAAAAAATTTACTATGGAAAATTTGGCCGAATGCCATTTCACCGAACGCCATTTCACCGATAGCCTTTGTGTTGCTGAGTTTAGGGGGGGGGGGCAGTTGCCCTTCCCTTCCCCCCTCTGGCTACACCTATGATCGCAACAATCAGCAAAACGGTAGCAACCAAGCTCTCTTCTAAGTGCCCATTTCTTGTAGCAAAGTTGAGGTATCCTTCGCTGCGCCTTTCCAACCACCGGGTAAACCCGTGTCCATCAGTAGCCGAGCCGGGATTCTTCGAAGTGCCCATTCGTCGTTGAGATATCCTTCACTGCGTCCTTCCAACCCGTCGCAGCCACCTCGTCAACCTGTGTCCAGCAGCAGTCGCGCTGACACTCTTCCGAGTGCCCATTCATCGTAGCAAGGTTGAGGTTTCCCTCGCAGCCTTCTAACCTGTCGCAGACACCAGTTTAACCCCTGTCCAGTAGCAGACGGGCCGAGAATCTTGCAAGTGCGCAATCATTGAACTGAAGAAATTGGGATTTGCTAATCCAGCTGCCTACACGTCATCATCATCTTCCAAAGGTTTTAAGCCTGTACTACCATCGGCCCTTTTCAGGACCACAAAGATTTTCCAAAAGAGTTAAATCTCTGAACATGTCTCAACTAAAATTCATATCAAAAGGTTCTTTTCAGGGCAATCATAGTCATACTAAAGATTATAAACAGAGAGAACCCCGCTCAAATTCTTATTCCTACACAAAACACAAGCTCCTGCTGTAGTTAACAAATAACATTTATTATATAAGACCACGTAGTCCTACGTCCCTATTGCGTACAACCCCATAGGGCTGTCCCTTGTAGTTTTTAGATCAGGATTCACTGTGGTAAGTGATGCGATCGGTTAGCAGAATTCGTTTTCATGAAAATCTAGTGGGGATAGAATAAGGCAAAGTAAAAAATTGCAAGGAACGGGACGGGCCTGGGATTGAACTTCCGCAACCTTGAGCTCAGTAAGCAGAAACGGTAACCACTGAGCAATCTTATTCAGAGAGAGGAAGACAGTAATTTCTACTCAGATGAAAGAGAAATTTCTAAAAACGTAGGTCACTCAGCGCTGAGTAACCTACGCTCTTAGAAATAATTCAAGAACAACATGTGAAAAGGGCATACAATCATTTTGTAAACAAACCTTCTTACGCCCTTTTCTCGCCACCCATATGACACCAACGCAAACCATCAACATCACCGGGTAGGCGAAACTTTCCCCTTCCCGATGATGTTGGTGGTTTGCGTGAGCGACCCTCAGTTGGCGACAAAAGGGCCTACAAAGGTTTGTTTACAAAAAGCTTGTATGCCTTTTCCACATGTGGTTCTTGAATTTATCTTTCATCTGAGTAGAAATTACTCTCTCCCTCTCTCTGAGTGGCCGTGCTAGACTCCTGGGGAAGTTACAAGGAGCATAAACTGAATGAACCTGTTGGTGGAAGTCTGGAAAAACTCCCTGATGATGTCAGAAAAGCACTTCTGTGGGAAGCTGGAAGAAACCTCCTGGAGAAATCAAGATGAACATTTCAAAAGATCCTATCTGCATTTAATTGAAACTATGCAGACATTGTTTTGGAAAGGGGACTACCTAACGCAACCGAGGGGGGTGACACATCTAAATCTCAATTCCAGATGCTCAAAAAATCTCACACTAGCGAATCAATCTTCGAAAAATCATCTTCCATTTCTCGCATCTACTTGCATCGTGCTTGCATTTTGCAGGAAATCTTCAAAATCGACATAAATCTTCCATCTATCTACTCAGCGTGCGTGCAGCTAGCCACAGCAAAAAAGAATCTTTTCTACATCGTAGATAGAGTCGTCCCCCTCGAACGCAACGCTTCCTGAACTATAATTTTTCGGCCGTTTAAGGGCTGCTCATAAACAACGTAAACCGTTTTGAGAGGTTTTAGATATTCACTCCCCGCGTAGACAATCGTCCACATTTTTGGAAATTTTATGGACCATAGACAAAGACAATCACTAACCCCCCTCCCCTTAAAGTGTATACGTGGTTTATGAACAGCCCCTTATATGAGACTGTCATCCGGTCGATGTTAGGGGTGACTCTATCTTCGATGCTGGAAAGATTTTGTTTTGCTGTGCGCATGCTGAGTAGATAGAAAGAAGATTGATGACGATTCTGAAGATTTTCTGCAAAAAGATGTTGCACGCTGCAAGTAGATGCGAGAAATGAAAGAAGATTTTTCGTAGATTGATTCGCCAGTGAGATTTTTCGAGCATCTAGAATTGAGATGTAGATGTGACGCCCCCCTCGGGATAGCCATGGGATCAGTTGCCACATATAATAACATCCCTCGTTCTGCCTGGCAATTAACTACGGAGGCTAGATTGGGTCGTGCGATGTAACCTCTGCAGTCGGGAATTTTCGAACAAAATATGCATCATCATTAATTTAATGTTCAAAAAACGGTTTTATTTCGCTAATTCAAACAGACTTCTCTATTTAAAAAAAAATCAGAAAGTATACATTCGAGTTAGGCATACACAGAGAGTGAAAAAATAGAAATTATATAAAATTATCACATTTTTATATTCATTTTATAATTACGCGTGTTTGTGAGTGACTTTGATTTTTCTTCCGTCTGGATTAATTTAGATTTTTTTTCTCATAATTGCGCTAAATTTTACATTCTTGATAATGCGATTAACACAGATAACGCGTGGGAAAGCCACATGAGTGACGATTTGAGTTCGTTGGTGTGGTTCACTCAGCGGTCTATTGCCCAACAATTTCCAGTCGATTCCCTGTCTTTCTCGTTTCCATTTACACAAAGTCTAGGTTCGCTAATAATTTGACTTAACTGGGCGTTTTCATTTTTTTGTTTGTATTTCAGCTCACAATTTAAGATCATGTGGTGTTTTGCTATCGTTGAAAAACGTAATGGAAATAATGATAATTGAGTGAAATTCAGATTTCTAATTGTATAGTTAAAGACGTTACTCCGGAGAAGAAGCTCAACTTCTTTCGAGCTCTGACGATCGATATTGTTATTGGCATGAACCTCGGCATGAATTAAAAAAAAAAACTAATCACGCACTGTTTAAGAATGAAAAATGAACTGAAGATGAATTACGATAATGATAAACCTGTTACTTAACGATTACAGTCGGCTCCTATACTAGCTTCACTACGCATTTTGTTTTCGCATGAGTCATATTCATTTGAATGAATAACATTATATTATTTGTTCATTTCATACTGCCGCGGGATTTCATGAGTTGTCCCTTATTCTCGAATGCAACATATGTGTAGTGTAACATATGTTTGCAAATTTGTTCACATGTTTACTGTTTTCTGGTTTCACTAAATACATTCATATCTGAAAAAGGGTGTTGTTTCCTTATGTAGCTCTTACATGTATGTATAATCTTAATGTTAGAATCCTTGTTTTTTTGTTTCTAGATTTTGTTATGTTTTTTTCTTCTTTTCAGTTTCTCTACTCAACGTAGCCTTAATACTATTGTATGTCTTTGCGTGTGTTGCATTCATACAGAAAAAAATAATGATAATTACAGCTTAAACGTCTAACTGCTTGGATGCTTGCTGTATGATGAACGGTTCGCTCCACATCCGCCGCAAATCACCCTGCAATGGTAAAAAAATCAATATTTTTCGTTAAATATGTATTTTCTTTCGTACTTATTTGAAAGCTCGAGTTATGAACATAGAAAAATCGTTATACAGTATGTTGAATCAATGAACCCCTCGTTAACCCTCTCTTTTTTTGTTTTGTTTTTTTTTTGCATCTCAAAACAACGAAAACATTTCTGGGAAGGGTTAACTAAGAAAAAGTTTAAGAAATAGATTTTTTTGTGCAGGTTTTTTTTTCCTTTGGTTTGTTTTTTTTTTCCGTCGATCTTGTTTTCCGTGCTGAGCACCAATGCTACCGACGTGCCAGGAAGGTAGTTCCCACACCTGGACCCTACCTATCGACCCATCAACTCATGAACCGGGGACCAACGGCTTTACTTCCCATCCGAAGGAAGGCGTGATCAGAGATGTTATGCCTCAGAACATCCCGGCGGCGCCGACTGGGATTGAACCCAGGCCTGCTGGGGTGAGAGGTAATCACGCTTACCACTACACCACCGGCGCCGTTATTTTGTGCAGGTTCACAAATGATTTAAATCTTTAAAAATTCCTGAAAAAATCCTCATAATTACATACCAAAAGGGAAAAGTTCGGGCTTTAGTTTGGCATATTTACAGTATTAGGCGGCCATATTGAATTTAGTAGTCAATTTGGATTTTTTTCGAAGAAATTAGTTTTTCATAAGTTTATTACCAATTTAAAAACTATTATCATAGAGGTAACTCTAAGACTAGAAGGTCCCGAAGAACCGTGCTCAACTTTTTGGCTCAGCTCTGGTACTCTCTTCGGTCCCAAGCTAATCGATGCCACCCCTCGAAATATAGGAAAATCCGCGAACCCCTCATTTCATCTGTCAAACTTTCATAACGAATCAAAACTCACTGCTGCAGCGGCCCAGCTGAACCAAGGTCTTTCCACTGTCCTTGGTTCATCGTATGCCAGTGCTGTGTCAGGTGAGTCCGTCGACGATTCCCCGTTTACCTCGGAGGAACTTGTGACACTCGTGGCAGAGGTCATCATCATCCTGCGCACTTTCATGACCAGATCTGAACAACTTCATGCTGCCCTGTCCCTCGTTACTAAGTATGGACCGTGAAGTTATAAAGATAGCAAATTGGAACGCTTGTTCGCTGAAGGACAAGCATATCGAACTGCTTGACTTCCTTAACGGCAAGGAGATCGGCATTGCCATCATCACCGAAACCCAAATAAAGCCGGAAGCGAACATCTGCCTATCGGACTTTCGGCTCTTGAGACTCGACAGAACCAGTGCAAGAGGAGGCGCAACATCATCTGCCACCTGCTGCCGAACTTCCAACTCAAAATTATCGAAGCCATCGGGGTTGAGATCAGCACATCGCTTAGCCCCATCACCATCATTGCGGCTTACTGCCCCAGACAAGTCAACAACAGGGATGGGACGGCAGTGGACCTTCGACGAAATATCATCAAACCGACTCGGCGGCGTCGGCAAAAATACATCATCACTGGCGACCTGAACGCCAAACATCAAGCTTGGGGCAACAGTCGACGCAATCAAAACGACACCATCCTGAAAAACGACCTGCAGGAAGCGCAGTAAAACATCTTGAGTCAGGACACTCTCACCCGGTGGAGTCGGTCCGATGTTCACGCTACCATCGATATCTTCATCAGCAACATGAACAACAACATCGCTCAACCTATCACTTACTAGGAACTCAGCTCAGACTACTATCCGGCGAAGCTTTCCGGCGCAATTACCATTGCTGGGATCAATATCAACACTGCGTCGACACAACCATCGACTACGATGTCCAACCGGAGAGTTCTGGTATGCCTAACTTAAATACCAATTCAGGCATAACATTTGATAACGGCACAAAAGCATTTGTAAACAAACCTTCTAACGTCCTTTACACGCGAACCCAAGTACGCCCACGCAAACCAGTACCACTTTCGGAAAGGTAATAGTTGCCCCTATCCGATGATGTTGTTGGTTTGCGTGGGCGTACTTTGGTTCGCGTGTAAAGGACCTTAGAAAGTTTGTTTACAAATGCTTTTGTGCCGTTATCAAATGTTATGCCTGAATTGTAATCGATTAACAAAGATCATCCAGGCCAGGATGGTGGATTTCAGAAATAAGGATTTTCCTAACAAGATTCGTTCTCTCCCAGATTGTGCAAAGGCCTTCTGGAAACTAACAAAAATCCTTAAAAATAAGCCAAGGCTCATTCCACTCCTTGTGCCGTTCAATCAACTCAATGATTCAGTTGTCAATCTGATAACCCCTGAAGAGAAGGCTGATGCTAAGGTCAACACTTTGTCAGCTCTCATAATCTCGGACTGAACATGGACTTACGATACTGCGGTTGCTGAAAATGCTGCCAAACTACATCAAATTCCTTGCAATTTTCCTATGGAATCCGAGCTTACGGCTAACGAACTGTTGGCCTATATCAAATTATCTAAAAACATGAAGGCCGCAGGTTTCAACCAAATTCTGAATCTAGAACTCAAACACGTGAGTTCCAGATTCTTCAACCAACTGGCACTGATTTTTAATAAGTGCCTTAGTTTTGGCTACTTCCTCTCGTGCTGGAAGTCAGTTAAAGTTATCCCCATCCGGAAGCCTGAGAAAGAACCGTCCTCCCCTTCAAGTTACCGACCCATCAGTCTTCTCTCGGGGTTATCGAAGCTGTTCGAAAGGGCATTCTGCCACCGGCTCCTAGCATCTGCCGATGAAAACAACTTGTTGCTCGAAGAACACTTTGGCTCAACTGTTCACCAGCTGACTCGGGTGACAAACATTTTCACACGGAACTAGTCTGTATCCAAATCAACTGCCATGGCATTGTTGGACGTCTCTCTGAATGGCATCACATCGGATGCCTTCAACATCCTTCAAACCTCCGATATGCCGGCCCTCCCTGATGGTTGATCGTTGTCTCTGTTCGCAGACGACTCATCCATCGTCTACATGGGTAGGGTCATCGGAGCTCTGACTACCAAACAGCTGGAAAATCCATATAAACGTGGTGAAGACCCAGATCATCATATTTCCTCATTCCAAATCTCCCAGGCTTGTTTCTTCTGAGAATAATAAGATAAACTTAAACGGCACAGTGTAGGATTGGTCCAAAGAGGTAGTTTACCTCGGCCTTACACTCGACAGCAAGCTGCTTTTCAGGGAACACGTTGACAAAACGAAAACATAAAGCAACATCCTGATGAGATCCCTGTATCCACTCATCAACAGGAGATCCACTCTGTCTTTGACAAACAAGCTTGCTGTCTACAAGCATGTAATTCTTTCCGTAATCGAGTACGTTATGCCAATCTGGGAGAGTTGCGCCAAATGGCACTCCAAAGGATCCAGAACAAGATCCTTAGGATGATCGTAAACAGTCCTCCAAGGACGGGAAATTCTGAGGACTTTGGAGGAGCGAATAACGGCCTTCTTGGAAAGGTCATCAGATCATACGTGATCTTGCACGTTAGGTTAAGTTAGGTAGGTTATCTGAAGGAAGGCATCCAGTCTTAGGTTTGGAAGTTGCAGCAATTGTTACCTCTACCACGGTATGTGCTCCTATCCTTTTATTTTACTACTATAAGTTTGTTTCGTTTTCAGTATTTCAACAAGGTGTCTTTAGTAAAGTTATTCAGATGGATAAGACAAGCGTCAATGTTATAATAAGAGTCCCGCCAAGAGTGAAGCCAGAAGTACCAATCGAAATGTCAAGCGGGGTACCAAACAAGCAAAGTAAATAAACATTATTGTTCCCACAGCCAACGAACTACAAGTATTGCATTCATTACTGACAATAGTTTAGTAATTTTAGATGAAAAACATTTATTCGCTTTATTTAGTGCATTGTGGTAGTTATAAGTTATACCAAGCACTTGTTTGAACATTTTTCAGGTTATATAATTGTTTTTGTCTCCCAGAAGCTCCGTTATCGACATTAAATTTTTCACTTTTGAATAATAGTCATCCGATGCTAACGCAAAACATCTGGTTGCTGTTTACGCTGACGAAAAATAAATCACAAACAGTGCTGCTTGTTCGCAACATTTTCTCTTGGCGGGACTCTTATTATAACATCGACTCTGGATAAGACCTATTGTATACTGGACAGCTCAGCTATATTCTCATATAATATATCGGCAGTTATGCACCATTTGAATTCTGAAAGCTTGCTTTAACTTGACTGATCTGTTAAATAGAATGTTGCTGTATTTGGAAAAGTTGTTCAGATAAATACAACTAATTAAAAAAAATATTGCTGCGTTCCAACTGGAATTATGCGTCTGTCTTCAACTTCAATTTTATTTGCCGTTACTTGGGAAATAGTGACTACACAAGGCACATTTTTTAGTCTATAACCCACACGGATAGAAATCTCCTTATACCTTTTGGCAAATTTGCTATTGCTGATTGTTCATAATAAGCAGACGCCTTGCAAAAAGTCAATGAAGATCATGTGTCAAATGAAATGTATAAGCGGTCACACATACCTTTAATGCATTCTTATAGGACATATGTGGTTTGTCTTATGGAATGTATAAGGCTGATGTTTTGGCAAAAATGTATATGTGAAACACATGAATAAAATAATTGATTTTCGTTTCGTGCATATTGTTGTGTTCTTGCGAACCGTTCGAAACTCCTTTTTTTTAAATGAATAGTATATTTAAATTAATGAATGGAAAAGCAAAAATAATCTCGTAGTTCTACGTCAACAATACGGTCGTGCTTTGCACACAACCCTTATATTTTTTTTATCGGCGAATGGACATAGGATCTATTCAAAACTGAGTTGAGAAATATCGACATGATCGCTTAAATTAAAAAAAAAAACTTACCTTAAGATACGCCATCGTCAGCAGAGGTAGCAATGTGAACGGAACTAGATACAGCAGAGCGGGCTGTGCTGCCTTGAATACTTCCGAGCTAACGGTGGCGGTTAATAAACCGAGAAAATAACTGCAAAGAAGCATTCAATTATCATTACGACATCCTTTCGAAGCAGATAAAAAAAATCTCTGATTCTCGATATACTTACCCTAGTAAGGAACAATGGAAATAAGTAAGCTTTGAGCCGACTCCCCTCGGGGGCGGTACACCAGCTTCCGCTGTCTGCGTACATTGTGACTTCTTGTACGCATCGTAGCGGAGTACGAAGCACAACAGCAGGCCTGGCATGACGATATCGCCCAGTCCGAGCATCGAAAAGTGACCACTGTTGTGTATACTGGGAAATACCAGCTTTCCCGGTAGATTCAGCTTGGGTGGCTCTTTGACAATTCCGCCGAGGTTCAGCTTGCGAGCGACTAATCCAACGGGATTGTCTGCCGGTCGAGTAGCGACCTTAACCATAACATTGGTGCTGAAGATGTACGACGAGAAAAACACCCAAAAGACGTCGTAGATGAGCAGCCCGGTGAGCAACAGGGTGGACACCTTCAGACTTGGTAAGCGTACGAATGCTATAAATGCAACACACAGTCCCATCCCCATGGCATCCATCAAAAGCCAGTGGCCGGTTAGAACCCAAACGCAAACGATTGACACGGCCAACGAAAAACTGAACAGTTCGGCCGCCGTGAAACGACCACACACGCCAAACGATATCCGGGTACCGTCCGAACATGGCCGAATGATATACTGACACATGGGAAGGAGAAGGAACGCCAGCGCTACGGTGGCAATGACTGAAAGTAGAAACAAAGTATCACCAATGAGAGTCCTCTATCCGGAAATGCTATGAGTAGTTAAGATAATTACTTGCTGTACACACGGCGAAAAGCATTTGCATGGAGTCGAAAAAGAAGAACATGACCAGCAGTGATATGGAGGCTCCCAGTGGAAGACAGAGCGCGTGCATCGTGTCCAGGGTTGCAAATTTATCTGGAAAAATAGAACCTACAGTTTATAAAAATCCATAGCTTACCGCTCACCCGTCGCCCATCCCGACTTACTTGGTTCCGGTAGTAGTGGTTCACCGGTGAGCAGGTTGTTCATGCTCTCGCTTTGGCGCTTTTTTTCCTTCTCGCGTTGCTCCTGCTCCATGTTAAGACTGCGAAAGCTACCGTACACGATCAATAGCATCGAGATCAGACACGTGGACACACGCGACGAATCCATGATGGTATAGGCCGACCACTCGCCCTGCTGTTGTTGCTGCTGAAGAATATCGTCCTGCTGCAAACCAGCGGCAAATCCTTCCGACATTGCACGATAGGAGACTGCGTCTGACCGAAGTCTCCTACAAATGGGACCGTTGGCGGCGCCGAATTGGTGGCGGGGACAACGGAGGCAGTTGTCGGAAGCCTTTGGTTGTTGGGAGACCGTTGCACGTCGTATTGCCCGTATTGTTGCGGAACGATCAAATCCGACGGATACTCGGGGACAACACCCAGTTTTGACTGATAAGGTCGCGTTACTACCGGCTAAACGCGAAACTATATCAAACAGCTATTGACAACGGTTTGTTTGGGGAGCACATGATGGCTGTGGTCGTTGAGAGAGCTGTTTATCTATGAACTATGACGATGAGCTGGAATGGAAAGAAAGGGGAAGTTATGCGTTAGAAAGATAAGATATGAATCGGACGATTGATTGGCTGGCTTATGCTTTGCTGAGCATACTTATGGCGATATACAAATAAAAACCAACAGTCTGCATCCATTCTCGTTTATAAAAACATGTTTAATATATTAATCATATCATATCATATAATCGTAGCACATGCAGGCTCGAGGGGCTCATGGTGGTGGAGCTTCAACAAGGAAATCAAGCAAACCATGAATTTAACCTGGGCCCAAATCAAGGCAAAAGCAATCAGACCCCACGATGGTTGGCCCTATTCACCACCAACTGGAGGTGCTCAGTATACATGAGTGAGTGAGTGATATCATAGTCAATCATATCATATCAATCAATTTAATAGTATTATGTGTGCCACGGACTGAGGGTTCCTTTCCCCTGCTGATCTACTGGATTTTGTGTGTTGTCCGTTGTCTAATTTTGTGTGTTCAGTCTACACAATTTTTGTTTGAAAACAGTTCCAATTAGTCATATTTTCGAGTAATTTATGAGTGGCCTTCTACCAGCGATTTAAGAGATTGAAGCAATACATACACTCCAGAATTTTCAAGCTCAGCATAAATAACACCCTATTTTTTCGAGGTTCTAGAAGAAAAACATATCAAAATATTGTTCCACGGCAATGATATTAAACTGATCGAATGATGTGATCCATTGCCTTATCATTTTGGTCAACATCGTAGTGAGGAGGTATGCAACGCCCTTGGCAAACCATGAAAATGACGCTTCTTTCTTGTAGGGTAGGATGGTGCAAAACTCATTGGGGTAAAATGCACCGCATAATAGACAAACCATAACCCCTGCAAGTAGATAATGCAAAGGGATGAGGTATTTCAAATGATTATAAAATAAGGTCTCAATAGAGTGTTAAACTGTGATTCATTAAGTAAAACATCTAAAAAATATACGAAAAGTGAATTCGTTAAATTTTTTGCGATATATGCTGTTAAAGGCTTAATTTCCAGTCGACGATTTTAACAACTGTGTCACATTTTGCACAAAATGCTATGTTTTAAGGGAATCAGTAGGTCAATATATGATTTTATGATCAAGAATTATTTGTGAAACCTCCAGTTGAAAACAAACACAATCCGTTACCCAGAAAATGCATCTGAGGAAAAGTTATCGCTGTTTTTCTATAAGTTGGCATTTTACCCCAGGGGTGCAGTATGGACTGTTCTCGCTTACATTCAATCAAGCATCAGGTTTTTAAATAGAGATTTTGAATATTCCAGGATCCCGAATTCAGAGGATCTTGTAAATTTACATGTCCGAAACTATGAAAATTTCTCCTTCTCATGTTTTTTCCTCTGTTCGGGACCTAACACCAGTGCTGTGAATTTTCATATCATTCGATTAAAGATGAACCAATACAACCATTCAATCAATTCTGTGTAAACGAATTTTCACATGACCATAATTTGAAGAGTCACGTTCTCATTCGATGCTCATTGTCACTGTCAATTGAGTCACTCACTATCATTTGATATATGGAAGAAACCCAGCAAAATGGTCCCGAACAGACAAGTCGACCCGATGTCGGATCAATGTAAGGCTAATTTAAAGTGAATGTCGTGTTGTTGTCTGGCCAATTTTGGGTTTATGTCGGGTTAATGTCGAGTCAACATCAGGTTGAAGTTTGGTAGAAGTCAGGTTGGTGTCGGGTTGGCTTAGCTTTTTTGCCGGAATGTCGACCAGAGCTCCGTTTATGTGTAGGTTACACTCAATTGAATGATATATAGCGTTTCTCAAATGAGAATGATCCATGCCATCGTCAAATGACTAAGCAACTGATATCACCCATTCGAAGGAGGTCCTCTTTGATAGCGAATAGCTACTTTTCTCATTTTCATCAAAAATGTTCAAATGATTTTGAGAATTTACAGCACTGCCTAACACCACTGCGACCAGTAATTTGATATATTGTAGTGTATCCCGTGTCCTTAGTTTAGTGCATGTCGTATTACTCCATCACTATTGATAAATGATGAAGTATTCTATTTTTTACAGTTGTCATTCTTGCATTTATCGCAAGGATCCGACTCTTGAAAGGTCCCGCTATTTAAACCCTTCGGAGTGTTGAAACACCCTCCAAAGGCGCGCCCCTTTGTCAGTCATCCTCGGTGGACAAAGCCGAGTCTTGTCACTATCAACAAGGCATCAAAAGTAACAAGGACTAAGATATGTTCCATGGATTACGAAGAGATGAACTAGCCATATGGCTAAAAATCTCTATAACAAAGAGAAAAAAAAATCCATGGATTACTGAAAAATCCTTTTCCCCTAATTTGAAGTAGTCAGGACTAGGAATCGGTGGTAGATCTTACATCCCGTAACGTACCACGAAAAGGTGATCTACCCACGTTACGTTCTCATGGTTAGTTATTTAACTTTTCTACAGGTCCAGCTTATCGCAAAAAATTAAAGTAGGCAATTCTAGAGTCTTTTTTATGAGGTATTTTTTAAATGTTTCCTATGTCAGAACCAGTGTTGGGAAAATATAAAAAAAGTCAAATCTCATTAAAGAACAAGATCACAATTGATTTTCGTCGACAAAAATCAACAAGTAAACAACTGTGGTTGATACTGCAAGCTGTGGAATCGCAACCCGGAATATCCTGGGGGGGGGGGGGACGTGCTGTCAAATCAGCCTACTGATCATCTTGTATGAAACTGGTTCCAAACGTAAACAAACGCTGTAGGTTTCTTATGGCTTGTTTACGTTTGGAACCAGTTATGCGAGGTAGGCGACGATTGTTCGTATTTGACAGCCACCTCCCCCCCTTGGGAATGTCAAGCTAACAGAACAAACCAGCTGCAAATCTCACCAAGCTGTGGTGAGATTGAGTTTCATGATTTTTGCTTTAAGCCTGGTACGCAGCTGAAAACTCGGCTGAAAAGTAATGACGTTTCTACGTGCTACGGGATTGATGAATTTACGTTACAGTCGAAAATGATAATGACGTTTTGCTACCTGTCAAATCGTATGGGATATTTTTTATTACATCATCACTTTTGTGGTTTTGAATTACAAACCTAGGCGTTGCATGCACTGGTGCAGTTTCGCGTAAATTCATCAATAAAGCCTGGTACGCAGCTGAAAAGTAATGACGTTTTTACGTGCTACGGGATAGGACACGGAATGCTAAAGAAATTATTTTCCTTTAGCATTTCTTGACCCAGTACGCAGTTCTAAAGAAATCGGTGAAGAAAAGATCGATTACATTGGTATCGTGATCGACGTGAAGGTGGCGCATTCTGAATGTAATTTCACTGTCCTTGCGGAATAATGATCTGATCAATTATTCCGTTAGGTAATGTTGGCGTTTATTGCAAAACTGATGTTTTGGATGCATTTAAACAACATAAACACTAATAAGTGTTGATTTTACAATTTGACGACACCTCGCTATAATCTCAAAATTTAGCAGACTATAGCTGTCAAATTTTCTTTTGGGAAAAATCCTCAAAAATTACTTTTCCGTTTTCTTTTCAGCTGCGTACTAGGCTTAAGACACGGAATGCTAAAGAAATTTCTTTTCCTTAGCATTTCTTGACCCTGTACGCAGTTCAAAAGAAATCGGTAAAGGAAAGATCGATTACATTAGTATCGTGATCGATATGAAGGTGGCGCATTCTGAATGCAATTTCACTTTCCTTGCGGAATAATGGTCTGATCAATTATTCCGTTAGGTAATTTTAACGTTTGTTGTAAAAATTATGTTCTGATAATTGTTGATTTTAAAATTAGCCGACACCCCCCTATGCATAGCTATGATCTCAAAATTTAGCAAAAGACACGTCCCTATAGCTGTCAAATTTACTTTTGGGAATATTCCTCAAGAATTACTTTTCCGTTTTCTTTTCAGCTGCGTACCAAGCTTTACATCCGAACGCAACCGAAACTTCCGTATAGCGGCTAGCATATAGGCGCAATCCGTGTACAAACCATGAAAACCATAAAAAAAAACAAATACAATCAATGTTATTCGATAAAAAATTACAATTTCTCAATTGATGAATTTAAGTGACGGTCGACCAGCAGATGGAAATGTTGTGAAATCGTATTGATGAATCTACGTTACGGTCGTCCAGCAGATGGAAATGATGTTAAAATGATAATGACGTTTTGCTACCTGTCAAATCGTATGGAATATTTTTTAGTACATCATCACTTTTGTGGTTTTGGATTTCAAACCTAGGTGTCGCATGCACTGGTGCAGTTTCGCGTAGATTCATCAATGGAATATGTTTTATAACATCATCAGTTTTGTAATTGCAAATCTGAAAACTAGGTGTCGCATGACCAGTTTTACCAGAGTTACCTCTATAGTTTTACCAAGAAGTGAGCCAATTTAAAATCGTTAGTTTCCAACTTGCCACACAATAATTATTATACTAATGCAAAAATGGTGCAGGCACCGAAAGCTCTCAATTAATATGTGTGGAATTGCATCTACAACACTAAGTTGAGAGCACGCAAAATCTAATATGAGATAAGCAATAAGCTTGAAATGCGATGAATAAGAAGAAGAATATATTACAGTAGATGGAATAATTCGGGATTATTCTCAAAATTAGGTACGAACAAAAATATAATTTAACAAGTCGACAATTCTTTAACTCGATGGTCCCTTCACTGTCGAGTTATGGAGAGTTGACTGTTCGTAATAGAATGTAACACATTATAAGTGTTATAAGTACGGAAACGCTACGTTACGTTAAATCGATGTGGTGTCTTCCGAGCACTTATTCCTCGGAATAAGCGCGCAGAAGACACCAACACGATACAACGTAAAAATGCACTTTTATTACCGATTCCGCACTTTTGAGGAGTCTAATATAATATTTATTTAAACAAATTGGTTTATTACGTAAATAACATCAGTGTGGCACGTCGTGGAAAAGTGGCTCGCCATAAAAAAAATAACCCCAAAACGCCTCACGAACACATCGAAGAAAAATGTAAACAACCCACGTGATGCACGCACACAAACGTATACTCGTTTGACAGTACCCAGGGAAGAGAAACAGCAGAATCCACCTCGCACGGTTAGTGAGATGAGCAGAAACATAAGTGTCAATGTCCGTCAGTCGCGAAGCAGCAGAAATTTCATCATCGTTCACCAGTAAATGGACCAGACCTAAGTGCCACAAAATTGCCATTTAATGGGAAAGATCGTTCACCAGCATTTTGTAAGCGAGAATCGTCCGTCGACTCGTTCACATTTTTCGCTTCTCGTCGATGTGCTGTGATCACGCCGAGGGTATCAATCAGTCAAAATCGAACGAGCAGCGCGCACAGAGGAAGTGCACAGTTACAGTGTAGTAGTTGGAGAAGAAAAGGTGAAACTAGGACGGTTTTCTTGTTGTGGAAAACTTTTCGCTTTAGTCAGCAAGTCGTGAAAGGAAAACACCCATCGTTCGCCAATGAAAACGTTGGTTGGTATCTGAATGGCCAGAATGACGTCTATCTAGCAGTGGCAGGGGTCAGATTTTGGAAAGTTTCCTCACTCTACCTGCTCGGTGAAAAATCTGGTGGTTTCAAGGTGAGCGTTCTGTGTGTACTTCCGTGAGGGTGAGCTAGCACTCGCTCAGCTGAGCACTACGACGAGCGAGATTTGTGTTTGGTATCATCCAGTTATATAAACATCTTGTGTTTGGATTGCCCATCAAGAAGGGCGCTTAGTATCGGAAGAAATCTCAGAAATATCTATTCGTTGGAAGGTTGGTGACTATTCAGCTCGTTGCTTCGTTTCAGGGTCACGGCAAAGGTAAGCGCCTAACCGCCAAGAGGTGCTAAAAGGTGATGCAAAGCTGACCAGACTGCAGAGTGTAAAGATAAGCTGTTATCGGAGACGAAAACAAAAGAAGATCGTGACGCAAAGAGTCCGAAAGTCCACGGCACCGTTGCTCAGTGGAGGTGACAATCGGGTTCGACAACGTGAGTGACGCGACCCTGGACCTGGAGACAATGATGCGGAAACGAGCGTGACGTCACTGACTGTTATCGCGGATATTGTAAGGATATTGGATCTTGGACCTTTTTTTTCTCGTTAGACCAGAGTGTTCGGGAAGGCAACACAATGGACTCTGCCGGTGAAGCATTCATCAAAACCATCGAGTGGGACATGATGGACAAGAAGAAATTCTTCCCGCTGTCGATGCTAAGCTCGTTCTCCGTCCGCTGTGCGTTGTTCCCGTTGACCGTGATCAAAACACAACTACAGGTACGGGGTCTATTCTTGCGTTAACAAGCTCTATTATAGGCTATGATGAGGATGATGAAGTTACATTGTAAGGAGGGGGCTTGTCGCTAGGCGCTAGCGAAAGTCAATGCAATTGAAACAAGGGTAATAGAGTTGTTTGTTACGATTCGGTCGGGCAACGATAACTGCTGCATTATGTAGATGCTGTTCTGAACGAAAAAAAAATCGTTCTTGTTTGGCAGCCGTTGACCGCTTCAAACATCATTCTATACCAAACGAATATTGATGTGCCAAAAGAACAGACGATAAAGAGTACAAGCTGAACATTGCATTAGGCCCTAAGTAACATTGATCGATTCTCTTCGGCGACTTTCTCTTTCGTTAATAACTTGATCACAGAACCGTTTCTTGATGTATTTGTCGTATTAGATGCTAGATAAAAGCTTCTTTTATCGTTCCAGATCATCGAGATCATCGATACATGGCCGTGGGGATGCAAAGAGAAAGTCGACGAAGAGAATCTGTCAATGTTACTTTGGACCTAATGCAATGTTCAGCTTGAGTACGCATCTTTGAGGCTGTGAACCATTTGCCGAGTTAAAATTAACTCGTGGTTAAAAGTGACATTTCGAAAATCTCAAAATTTAACTTCTTGTCTGTCAGAAGTAACCACGCTCGGATAGCAGGGTTAATCGATAACTTTTCATCTGTCAAATTTTAACCAAAAGTTAAAATAATACACCAAATGGTTCAGAGCCTGAATGAACGAAAACAAATCTCGCGTAACATTTGAAAAGGGCCTATCCTCGTTGATCTATTCTCTTAATCGACTTTCTCTTTGGTTTACCACGGCAATACAAACGAATTTCTCGCTAAGCTCGACTGTTCGACAGAAGGTGATGTTAGCTTGCGCCTGAAACAACACACTGAATGGGAAATTCATTTGCAGTCGGGTTATTCGCGAAAGAGAAAATCGATGAAGATAATCGATCCTGTTGCGCGAGAATTGTCGACTTCGAAACTCAGCGGTTGCCTTGATCAAGAGAATGTTATCATGTCAAAATTCCAATTCATGCAGGCAGTTGGCTTATCTTTCAAGGTTGTCTTCATTTTCAGCTTATTTGAGTGTAGAAGAAATGATTTTTATCAGCACTGCATGAGAGTAGGGGATTTAGGATTGAATTTTATGACGTTCTGGCATTTGGTTGAATATGAATATCTATCATGATTCACAATGGGATTTCAGCTTTTTTTTCCAATATCCGCCATGGATTCGTACACAAAAGTCAAAGCTAACCTAAAATTTCTTTTTCCGTTTGTTATTTCTTTATGAGAATTTAAAGAAATGATGCGGAGAACTTTAGGCTAGAGCTGTGCACTGATCTATTGGGATCCAAAATGCATGATTCTACTACAATTATTCGACATTACGATTGCTTTTGAGTTATTCCGCTTTGAATTCACCGACAAATTGCCAAAGTATCTTGGATCATGTTCTAGAGATCAATCGATTTGTTTCACCATCCAATCATACTCGTTGGAATGCAACTTTCAATGTTTATAAGTGTTTTCTTTAAATGCCACCTACTTACCTGCTGTAACTTTGTCTCAGACAGCATGTCGATTAGAAGAGACGTTTTCGTGCTATGATGTATTGAAAAAAAAAAATGAGGCGAGAGTCAAAAGGATCGAATTCCAGCAGAAATTTGAATAATTACCCATAGTGGGCAATTTTGCATATTGTTATGAAAATCGGAGAAGCTGGTATCGAAATGCTCCAATACTTAATATCAGATTGTCAGCGGGCCTGCCATAAACTACGTAGACAGTTTTTGATAGGTTTCGAAAGATATTGAAGTCAATTTGAACATCCGACATTTTGTTTGAATTCATTTTCTTGAATCTACAATATTGACAACATTTCTCGATGAAAATTTAAAATGGTTTTATATGCGCTGATCGATTCTCTTCATCGACTTTTTCTTTTGATAACCCTAGCTAAGCAAACAGATTTCTTCAGAAGAGAATCAATCAATGCAGATAGGACCTTTTGAAATGTTTATCTAGATTTCACTCAACCAAATTTCAAGTTTCTAAAGACTTGGCGGAGCTCGATTTGAAAACCCCTGCATTAGAGGAAGCATTCGTCAATACTGCGTTGATAGAGGTTGTAGGTCGTTTGGCATAACGGTGGTTTGGCCTAAGTTTTGAATAAAATACATGAGAAGTTCTTTCGAGTGTTACTGTTCTAGATTTGGTGCACCAATGAGTCAATATGTATGTTAATGACGCATAACTGAAAGAAACCGTGTACCTACACGATCGTTTGAACAATAACCTCTTACTTCGGGGAGATTCAGGATGAGTTAACAGAGCAGGACGAGTTGCAGTGTGTACATACATTTCATGGGGGATGAGCTAGGTTTTGGTGTTTTATAGAACTTTGAAGATCATTCTGGAAGACTGCAAAGCTTTCTCCGGTTCCGATGAATTTTTATATGAGTACGCGGGCTTTGGAAGTGAATCTCAAACATTTTAATAAACAGATTTAGAATGAAATTTGAAAACCGCTTTACTTAATTGCCATAACGCTCAATAGATTTCAAGGAAAGATCCAGAAAACCGTTGTAGCTGCCCCGAATTTTAGACATTTCTTAGAGGTCTTGAGTTTTTTTTATTGAAGTCTTCGATTTCGTGGTTTTAGTCATATGAATATTCTCTTCAAGATGAGTTTTCCTGGATTTATGACCAGGATCCTCTTGATTTTTCTACAAGTACAAGGTTTACAAGGTTTTCTGGATTCGTCCTGAACTATTGCAATTAAGGTTATCTTTTCGGTCCCCAATTTTCACCTGATGACCTCAGTACTTGAAGCAATCTGGAGTAATTATTGTTACTAATAAATGCCATTAATGATTACTTATTTAAGGCATGACAGTCTTTTGGGGTTGCTTCGGGATCCTTCGGACTTGGACACAAAGTGTTTCGGTTACTTGCTTCCAATTTACCCATGAGCTGGTTTATTAATTTGTCACCGAGGTGATTTTAATATATCATAACACCTACCCTGTGTTCCAGTAATAGCAACCGATGGTAACTAAAGATTTTAAATTGACTCACTACTTGACTAGCCTATTGGTCCCAAGCAAATCGATTAACGTGCCCCATTCTAGTCGACATTCTAGTACTACGCTATGTTTGTTTTGATTCGCTATGAAAGTTTGACAGATAAAATGAGGGGTTCGTGGATTTTCCTATGTTTCGAGGGGTGCATCGATTAGCTTGGGACCGAAGAGAGTACTAGAGCTGAGCCAAAAAGTTTAACACGTTTCTTCGGGACCTTCTGGTCTTAGAGTTACCTCTATGGTAATAGTGGTGTACATATAGTTGCGGTCTGGGGGTTATGCCGGAATAATGAGGTAAAACCGGATAAGCTTATTTTTCATCGGTAGCTCTCCTAAAATAAAGCAAATTTGCATATTTCAAGCTTGAAATTAGCCCAAAAAGTTACGGAAAACAATTGATTTTACTTAAGATTTTGAGTCCTTTGCACCTATAATAGTAGAACCCATAAGAAACCAATACGTTCCACTTATATTGGAACCAAAGTTAGCAAATACCACTACTACTGGAACAGTGTTCATATCAGGGCTCTACATATTCGAAGCTCTCAAATGAACTCGAGTTTTGCTTCTTTCATACAACGTGATTACCGCATCATTAGCTAGCTGAACTATTAGCACGAAACGAAAATGAAAAAGGATGGTTTTCTCGTCATTGCTTTGCTCATCTCCTTTCAATGAACATAACGTTGATTTTCTAGTTGAAACGAAGTCCCAATTTTGCTTTCAATTCCTTTCAACGACACTTTGTCACCGCTCTTAAAATTTATTTGATATGTGTTATGTCCCGTTTTCGTTTCTTTTTTTAGATAAATAAATGTATTGAAGATAAATTAAGCATATTACCATAGAGGTAACTCTAAGACTAGAAGGTCCCGAAATAACGTGCTCAACTTTTTGGCTCAGCTCTGGTACTCTCTTCGGTCCCAAGCTAATCGATTCACCCCTCGAAACATAGGAAAAACCAATAACCCCTCATATTATCTGTCAAACTTTCATAGCGAATCAAAACAAACATTGCGTAGTACTAGAATTTCGACTAGAATAGGGTGCGTTAATCGTTTGCTTGGGACCAATAGGCTACTAAAGTGGTGAGCCAATTTAAAATCGTTAGTTTCGTATTGATTGTTGATATTATGTTTAATCTTCATTTTTTTACGTGAGAAATGCTTGAAATATAAACGTTCATTTTCCGTCATATACGCGTCATAAAATCTCAGTTGACATGTTTCATGACAGACGAAACTATCAAAGTCGAGCGTTCTTTTACTTGAAGCTTGAAAGAAAGACGAATAAAGCGATGGGAAAAATATAGACAAACGATTGCAAATTTGTTTGTAGGCACCGACTTCAACAGAAAAAGAAAGCTAGCAGTCTCTTCGTCGCATCGATTTTGTCGATTGAAGCTGATATTGTGACGTTCTGGTTCCTATTAACGGTGGACAAGTTTTCGAAAAATGTATAAAATTTAAATACGATGTAATATTTTTTTAGCAAATTAGATTCTAAAAGATTCTAGCAAATTAAAGCTATAGATTGACGAATAAATTTTTTAAGTACATCGTTTATTTATTTTTTAACAAAAAATTGTCTTAGTTCCTCCACTACTGGCTCACCCACCCTAACTGGTATTTCATGAAAATATCTCCTACACCGGAAAACGGGACAAAATATACACTCATTTTATACATAAGATACTACTAACATGATACTAAATTGTTTCAAGTTTTTTTTAGGATGGGAAAAAAAACTATTAGTAGTATCAAATTAATAGTACTTTTCACTATCGAATCCTACAGATAACGCACCGGCAGTGGTTAAGTTTCAGCGTAAAGGGTAATTTTTTACATTTCAAAATATCAAGATGGACCAGATGTGCACGAGGATGAACATTGATGCATTTGACAGCAGCATGCTATTCGCTAAGTGAAGAGTAAATATTTTTCAGCTAACGAACGTCTAGTTGAACCTATGAATTAAAAAAACTCCCGAGCCACTCTCGTACCCGCTTTACGTTTGCATTGAACCATTCACAAAAGAAACGCACGCACACTAATGTTCGTATGTATTTGTGTATCATACACAGTTTCAATGTGAAGACGCTAGGTTGCGCGGAATGTTCGGTAGCATCGATAAGCTGGGCTTCCTGATAAATGTGAGTCTTGGCCAAACAGCTAATCTTGGATCGTCATTAATTAACGTAAGGTAAATGTGCAAGTTATGGCACTAGTGCTCCATTTTTTGACCCTAGTGACTAGCTAAATACCTTTGCCTACATTGAGGCAAAAAAAAAAGCTAAGGAATTCCATAAGAAACACTTAGGTATGAAATTGTGACTTATAGAATGCATAAGTTTGATGTATCCAAAATATTTCACAAGTCAAAATAAATAAATTTATATCTCAGCTTATGAAACTTAAAGAAAGTATTTTAAAATGTAGCAGATTGGAATCAAACCCTGAGCATTCACGTCAATCAAGACTTGAGAAATCGAACAAACTAAAGACTGAGCTAAAAGACTCAAGAACCACCCATAGTGCCTCGTGTAGTACGAGAATCATTCATAAGTCGTGCTTAATCTATGCCTATGGAATTTATAAGTGACTAGCTGAGTGCGCCCGGCCTTGCTCGGGATTCAATATTAGCTTGAGTTTATGCGCCGATTAAAAAAAGCGTGCTATATTGAATGTAGCCGCCCTCCCTCTTATCTAAGTGGCTACCACCTATAACCATCTCCTTATACCACTAAATGCCAAATTTGGTTCCATTTGCTTGATTAGTTCTCGAGTTATGCAGAAATTTGTTTAATTTGCATGGGAACCCCCTCTCCCCTTACAGAGGGAAAGGGTCTCGAACCATCATAAGAACCTGCCCCAAAAACCCCTGCATACAAATTTTCACGGCGATCGGTTCAGTAGTTTCCGAGTCTATAAGGGTCAGACAGACAGACAGACAAACAAAAATTCATTTTTATATAGAGGAAATGTCTCTAATGTTGGCCTGAACACGTCATTGGGACGGTACTAATGGGTATTTTTGGTCGCTATTGAAAATTTAGTCGATTGCTGAATTTATGTATGGGCCCAAATTAGGGGCATTTAGGCCGACATTACATCCATTTCCCCTATATAGATAGATTTGCTGCTCTTGGCGTCTTAATGACTCCAAACAGTGTCGAAAACAGTTGGAACGACGTTTGAAAACAACCCCTTATAGGCCTAAAAACTTGATCACCCGCCGCCATCTTGAAGACCATCATAATGATGCAGATTTCAATATTTTGCACGGCGAGATAAGTTTTATAGACCTATTGCCTTATTGTGAATTTCTTCCGTCTGTATAGCTATCATTTGCATTAAAATACTGCTTCCAAAGTGTCTTTTTCTGCAAGGTGGCACCCCTATCATATTTACCTTGCCTTAACAATACTGTGGGCTCACGAATTGTGGACTCCATTCACAGTTCAATGTTTATAAACAAACGGCAGATTAAAGACTGAATTACGAAAAAGGCGTGACTGATATTTTTAATATGCTTAATATTTTCGCTCACATTTTGTGTAATATTAACAGAAGAAAACATTCTCAGTGGAGAAAAGTAACAAAATCTAGTCACGCCATTTTTGCAGTTAACACTTTAATTAGGTTCTTTAATTTTGAAAAAAATATCGATTATTATACACCATCTGAAATTGCTTCGTTTTTCTGAGCACAACCTTTATATTTTTCGAACCCAAAGTAATAACTTCACTGTTTGACTCTTAACTAATAAATTGGCCGAGGGGTGCTAATGTGACGATTTTTTCCAATGTAATCGCACTTATTTAAAATAGTTCCAGTGTATGAAAATTGATGAAATTTTGACGCTGTGACGTTTCAGATGTTGGTTTCAGTAACATGGCAGCCTATCAGCCAGTTGGGCGTTTTTAAATTTACATACTCAGAGGGAAACCCGAAAAGACCTCGACAAACCATCGCAATGGACCCAAATGATATGGGAGTGTGGTAGGACTGCACGATTCAATCCATTGCTCTGTGCAGACCGTTTGTATCAAACGGTAAAGGACGAGGCAATGAAAGAGGCAACAAAAACATTCAGTCACTCACGAGCAGGCGACGCACACCGCTTGCCTTCGCTCACACAGCATGTAATTGAGTCATTTTTTCCATAGAAAATGTACGCTCAGTCATTCAAAACAAATATTGGGTACCATCACGGCAGAACAAACGTGTTGACTGAGCTACTGACTGAGTGCTCGGCTGTCAGTGACTCGTTTACCTCTCAATCATTCAGACTCTCACGAGGCAGTGAATGATGAGGCAGATTGAACTGCTATCTGCCTCATCATTCACTGCCTCGTGAGAGTCTGAATGATTGAGAGGTCATATCAAAATGACTCATTGAACTTGACTGTTTTGCGCACTGGCCACGTGACGTGGTGGTTACCCTATCAAAGACATCAATTGCAAGTACATCTAAACGGAAGATTGTGAGCATGTCGTTTTTGGTTGGACAGGGCAGCGATGAGTCAGTCGTGAAAGTAAGCTTTCCTAACACAGACATCAACGTCAAAGTAACTAATGGAGACTTTCGAACCATGATGATTAACTTCTGAAATTAGTTATGTTATCCGCTACATTTGTACATCGCGCGAAGTACAACGACAATACTTTTTTATATGATTGAAGTGCGCCGTTTTAGATGCGATTATTTCAGAATATTTTTTACTGTGATCACTCACAACTAAAATATATGTATTTATAGCAGCAATATTTTGATTATAATTATTTACCAATTGTGACGGTTGACTGCTGGCTTATGTTTTTTTTATACCGCAGAATTATTTCCATGAATTTTAAGGTTCCAATTACCAATGGGCGTAAATTTGCATTACCTGTAAAGAATGAGAAAAAAACAATATATAAGTAAATTATAGGTTAGTTTCAAGAATGGGGAATAAATCACAATGTAATAATAAAACATAAATCAATACATTTTTTCTACTTAATAACTTAATGATGTAGGTATCCGATGTCAGATTTGATGAACTTTAAAGAAACAGTACAAGAAAGTGTTCGGTGTTAGTCTGACGTGAGGCGATGGATATTATACTGCCCATAAAAGCATATCAGTTCCATCTGGGAAAACATCAAACCGTGAAAAACGCTACTGAAAATGTAATCCTCCATAGGCTCTCATGGATAGGACAACCTAGCGACGGTCTAGGATAAGGGAGGACTGGCTGGTTTTTAGCCAACTGAACTGTCAAAGCCAGAGCCAAACGAGCAGTATCTATATTGACTGCATTAGCAGTGCTGCTAGAAATCGCCTAGCCAAGTTGCCAAGACAGATTGTTTTGAATCCGCTTCTCTTTTATTTTTCACGATAGTTTTTGAACAAAACATGTTACATGTTAGTTGTAAGAGTTGATTGATTTTCTTTTCATAATTTTTATTTGATAGAAAGCATTCCAATTTGATGGTTTAATTTAACAAACTTTCTATTCTTTTATAAAAAAATTATAACAACTTAGTCTCTCGCGATTACTCGAATGACACTAATGTTTTGCTTTGTTTTCGATTTTAGGTCCAGTACAAAAACGACGTCTACAAAGGGATGATCGATGCGGGCGCCAAAATCTATCGCAACGAAGGCCTGCCGGGCTTGTACCGGGGCTTCTGGATCTCCTCGGTGCAGATCGTGTCCGGAGTGTTTTACATCAGCACCTACGAGGGAGTCCGGCATTTGCTAAATCAAAACGGAGCTAGTCAACGAACGAAATCTCTGGTGGCGGGTGGAGCCGCCTCACTGGTGGGACAAACTATCGTCGTACCCTTCGACGTGATATCACAGCATGCGATGGTTCTCGGAATGGGGGCGGCCGGAGGCGTGAAAGCAGCCAGCGTAAACCCATTGGGAATAGACTTTGAGCGGAGTAGCCGGTTTCGGATAACGGTGGAAATTGCCCGGGAAGTTATGCGAAGGGATGGGTTCAAGGGTTTCTACCGGGGGTATGTGGCTAGTATGATGGCATATGTACCTAATTCGGCCATGTGGTGGGCTTTCTATCACTTGTATCAAGATGAATTGCTCAAGATTTGTCCGCCTTGGGTGTCACACCTGCTGGTACAATGCGTAGCCGGTAGTTTAGGAGGATTCACCACCACCGTCATCACCAATCCACTGGACATCGTGCGGGCACGGTTGCAAGTGCAACGACTAGACTCGATGCAGGTGGCGTTCCGTGAGCTTTGGCACGAGGAACATTTCCACATGTTCTTTAAGGGTCTTACCGCGCGGTTAGTACAATCGGCTGCGTTCTCATTTAGCATTATCTTAGGCTACGAAACGATCAAACGCGTCTCGGTGAACGAACAGTACAGACATCTTATAAAGTGGTGATTTGGCAATAGTCAGAGATGAACATGCCATGCGTAGCACGGCACCAGCGCTCGTCAGTGGGGTGCTGCGCGAGAGAAGAGAACAGCTCACCTGACGGACAGGAAAATCCACCGGCGACCAACGACCGGTGGCTGCATGAAAATGTGCGAATGTGAAGAAAAACAAAAGAATTCTGCTGCCATCGCACTGTGGGCTGGAGATTGAACTTTTTTGCGGCAAAATTTATCTTGATTTACATTTCATCCTTATACTAGGCTTTAAGGTATTCAAGGCGGTCCAAACAGTGGAAACATATTTTTCCTGATTTTTTTTTTATTTCAATGAAATCCGGCACCATCCAGAAAAAACGGCGATTTGTTACAATTTTACAAACTGAATTTATGGTTGATGTTAAAAAAGTTGTTATTGTTTTGTTTTTAATTTATGTTAGAAATGTCTCGAATATTTCAAGAACTTGACGTAAAATATTAATGTTTCCATATTCGGTTTTCGAAAATCCAATTGGCTGCTAAATTGATCACAAAAAACATCCGTTTCTAATCCACAGTGCTTGATCGGTGCGCACCTCATGAGCTGTAAGCAACTAACAATAACAATGATAATAATTGTAATAGGCATATTTTTCCGTTCGTTGCTAGATGGTTATAAATCAACTCTTAAATCACTCTGCTGGTAGCAGCAGCTCCAAGTTGCTGCAACCATTTGTTTCAGAATGGACTTAGGAATCAAATGTTAGGCAAGCAGTTAAGTATATTAGCATATTATCGTAGCGAAACAAAAAGCATACTTAGAATGAAAGGAAGGAACTCATAGGTGTTGTTGGTTTGGAAAAGAAACCCTCATCACAATAACCAACTTGATCAAGAATAAACAGCAGAAATCGTTCAGATGTGAAGAATACCGATTCAGACCACACTGCACAGCAGCACAGCTTTAACGCTTATACCGGTAGCGCATGTATTGCAAAATGTTCAAAGCAGTGCTTCTTTTCAAGTTTCTCTCACAGTTGAGTGTGAACTCGGAAAGTCATTGTTGCTCTCGTCTTTGGTTATCAAGAGCGCGGTGACAATGGAGTGTTTCATTTACCATTACTGTCTCAATGTTACCAACAATAACAACGCCACCGTTTCTTCTTTTTAGACCTATGTTAGGGGGTAATTTATTTATACACAACTTATTTTGCTTTACCGTTAGGTTATATTTTTTTTAAATTTACAAACCATAGAGTTGCATGACTCATTAAACAAAGGAAAATGTAATGAAGCCAATGGAACAGAAAAGTATATGCGTATAGGAGAGGCGCCAACTAAATGTAATTATTTATGCTTTGTAAAAGCACCTTCTGCATAAGAGCATAGTGTTTCCTTTCCCTTTTGTACTGTATAAGCAAACTTAAAATGTAATGGCAAATATACAACAACTGTAAAAGAACTCAAACAAAACATTGTCTTATATTTAATGCTATCCGAAGGTCACCATCTGTGAGTGAAAGGTGAGAGTTCCTTTATTTAAGATATAGCAAACCCTCCTGCTCAAGAGAGCCGTCTTGACATATCTTTGTGCTCTAACTCACTATCATTAGATTGTCTGTGGAAGGTTATCAATTTGGCCTATTCTGCGCGGCGTGTGAGGTGATGTGACACGCTGTCACTTGTGAAGTGACAAATGTCACCTCGGGTGAGGTGACTCTCCGTGCAAATCAAATGGAGAGTCACCTCACCCGAGGTGACAATTGTCACTTCACCATCACTTCACTGTCACCTCACCTCACACGCCGCGCAGATTAGGCCCAAATGATCCTCATGGTAGTGATCACTTACCAATTATTATTTCAATCGTAAGTGGTCTTCTAAAAACAGATCAGTCAATTCAAGTTCCTTTTGACCTCACGAGGAACATTGATTGGCAAAAATTTGTATCGACGGTAACTCTTGGTATTGATTCTACCGATCCTCTACCACCACTGCAAGAGTATCGTTTCTTTACCGAACTAATCAACTAAAGCGCATTAGAAGCTCAGAAACGACGTGTTCCAAGTGCATCCCTCAAAAGAAGACCCGCCACCCCTGGATGGGATGACGAATGCACAAAGTTGTATCTTATGAAATCCGATGCATTTAAAGATTATCGTAGACATGAAAGATCTGAGCTTTTTGAAAAGTATCTAAAGCTTGAAAAAAAGCTTAAAAACTTACCAAAAGCAAAGAAACGAAATTACTGGCGTACTTTTATTGAGGGACTTTCTAGATAAACCTCGATTACAATGCTTTGGAAAAAGGCTCGCTATATGCGAAACCGCTCATCTTCCAATGAGAGTGAAGAATACTCCTCGCAATGGATATTCGACTTCGCTAAAAAGGTTTGTCCAGATTCTGTTCCAGCACAACCAACTTTACGGGATACAGCCCGAAGTAATGGTTCCCTGGATGAACCATTCACAATTCTGGAATTTTCAATGGCACTTCTTTCATCGAATAACTCTGCTCCGGGAAGCGATATGATCAAATTCGACCTTCTAAAAAACCTCCCCGATATCGCTAAAAGACGATTACTTAACCTATATAATTCATTTATGGAATTCAATATAGTTCCACCAGCATGGAGACAGGTTAAAGTAATAGCTATTCAAAAGCCTGGGAAACCAGCGTCTGATCACAATTCTTACCGTCCGATCTCTATGTTATCATGCCTGAGGAAATTATTAGAAAAAATGATCCTATTAAGACTTGACCATTGGGTTGAATCAAACAATCTACTTTCAAATACGCAATTTGGTTTCCGAAAGAGTAAAGGAACAAACGATTGCCTAGCGATGCTTTCATCTGATATTCAACTGGCCTTTGCGCACAAGGAGCAATTGGCTTCAGTCTTTTTGGATATTAAGGGCGCATTTGATTCGGTTTCCATAGACATACTGTCAGACAATTTGCACAGTAGTGAATTACCCGGTATTTTGAATAATTTCTTGTATAATTTGCTGTCAGAAAAACAAATGACCTTCAATCTAGGTCAACTGACAACTTCTAGAATTAGCTACATGGTCTTACCCCAAGGTTCATGTTTAAGTCCCTTACTTTATAATTTCTATGTCAAAGATATTGATAACTGCTTAGACAGCTTGCAGACGATGCCGTGGTTTCCATGAGAGGTCCACGTGCGGAAATCTTGCAAAGACCATTGCAAAATTCCCTAAATAATCTGTCTTACTGGGCAAGAAATTTAGGGATCGAGTTTTCACCGCAAAAAAACTGAATTGGTAGTGTTTACAAGGAAGCGGTTTCCAGCCCAACTGCGTCTAAATCTTTTGGGCAGAGAAATTACCCAATCTTTAACCTTCAAATACCTTGGAGTCTGGTTTGATTCAAAATGCACTTGGGGTACCCACATTACGTATTTGAAACAAAAGTGTCAACAAAGGATCAACTTTCTACGATCAATTTCCGGGACATGGTGGGGTGCTCACCCGGAAGACCTCATTAAACTATATAAAACGACTATTCTTTCAGTTCTTGAGTATGGCTCTTTTTGCTTCCTCTCGGCAAGAAAAAGCCACCTAATCAAACTGGAACGTATTCAATATCGTTGTTTACGTATTGCCCTTGGCTGTATGCATTCAACACACAATATGAGCCTAGAGGTTCTAGCGAGAGTAAAACCCCTGCAGAACCGTTTCTGGGAGCTCTCATTAAGAATATTGATTAAATGTAGTGTCAGTAACAACATTGTGATTGAAAACTTCGAAGAAATGCTCGAATTGAGCATCCTGTCTAGATTCGTGCGAATCTATCTTAATTATATGTCATCGGATATTAGCCTTCCTTGGTATAACCCCTCTCGTGTATGCTTTACTAACTACAGCTCCCCCATTGACTATGATCTCTCCATGAAACAGGCTATTCAAGGAGTGCCAGATCAACTTCGACCTATCTCAATTCCCCGCATTTTTGCTGAAAAGTACCAACAAGTCAATTGCAATAGAAGATTTTTCACTGATGGATCACGCATTGATGGATCCACTGGCTTCGGCGTCTTCAATGAATACTCAACCGCCTTTCGGAAACTTCAGGAACCTTGTTCCGTTTATGTTGCTGAGCTAGCAGCAATCAACTTCGCATTGGGGATGATTTCCGATATGCCCATAGACCATTACTTCATCTTCTCGGATAGTCTTAGTTCGATTGAGGCTATTCGGTCGATGAAACAAGGTAGGCACTCATCTTATTTCCTTTCAAAGGCAAGGGAGCAGATGAGTTTGCTGGTGATTACCTTTGTATGGGTCCCCTCAATCCCAGGCAATGAGAAGGTGGGCGCACAACTAGGATAGAAGAATTTCACATGATGAATTTTTCCCATTAGTACGTCAGAGTTCTCTTTTAAGTTGGCAAAACGAGTGGACAAGTAATTCTCTTGGGCGGTGGTTACATTCCATTATTCCAAATGTTTCTTCGAGAGCGTGGTTCATTCGAGTGATGTCAAGACTTAGGTCCAACCACTACTCGCTAGACGCACATCTCTATAGAATAAACCTCGTTGACAGTAATATATGTAGGTGCAGAACCGGTTATGATGACATCGATCACGCAGTCTGGTATTGCCCGGGTAATGACGCCTCCAGAGCACGACTATTGGATACCCTAGTGGCCCGAGGTAGACAACCCTTCCGTGAAGTAAGAGATGTATTGGGAACACGTGATCTTCCGTACATGCAAGCGATCTACGAATTCCTTTGTTTGTCTGATGTTAGAGTTTGATGTGACCATCCCCTGCTTTCCAAACAATTTCCAGCCATTGTGTCTCTCAATCTTATTATCCTCCTGTTCCTGTGCTACTTGCCCCTGCCCAGCCAGGATTTGGTCAAACGTCCGAGAGTAGTATCCCTAATAAATAAATACCATAAACGAACTGTATCCCGGATGGGTAAACTATCCCACAAATGGTTTGGATGATACCCTGAAAACGTCGTTAAGCTCTCTTTTATGGTTATATTTTCCTACCTAGCTCCTTCCAATCGAAATTGTTACCCATTAACCTCGAGCCCGCCACGAGTAATTGGTACCCAATACTAACCTAGAACTACTGCTATTTAAAATGTAAATTCAAACATTACTGATTTTGGCTCCGCAAAGTGTCACACACGACTGAGCCTAGTAAATAAACGAACTAGTTAAAAAGAGGTCTGGAACGCGCAAAAATTGGTCAACTTCAAATTGGTGTATTTCTGTAAAAAATGCATAAAACAAAACCTGAAATGCTGCATTTGGAAGTAGAGTGTATATACAATGGTTGCTATGATGAGTTTTCAACGTTTGCTATCCAGTTTTCAAAATGACGTCCAAGCAAGAGGAGCAGTGTGTCAAAATTTTGCTCGCGCAGCAAGAGAATCCGACGTTCTCACACGCCAAGTTGGCAAAATTGCTGGATGTGGCCAAATCAACCGTGACAAACGTTTTAAAATTGTTCGGGGAGCGTCTGTCGACCGCCAGGAAGCCTGGAAGCGGCGGCAATCGTAATCCGGACGTGGCAGCGACGACGAAGAAGGTGGCGGTGAAATATAAGCGGAATCCTAACCTCTCCATCAGGGACGTCGCTGGCAACCTCAATATCTCCCATACTACTGTGCAGCGGGCCAAGAAATGAGCCGGGTTGTCGACGTTTAAGACACGTCGGCAAAGCAGCGGTCCCGAAAGCTGTATACGAATCTGCTCACAAAGTTCGACTGTGTCGTCATGGACGACGAAACTTATGTGAAGGCGGATTGCAAGCAGCTTCCGGGACAGGAGTTTTATACCACATCAGGAAAAGGGAAGGTGGTTGAAATTTTCAAAACCATCAAACTATCGAAGTTCCCGAAAAAAATATCTCGTCTGGCAGGCCATATGCACGTGTGGTCTAAAAAGCGGCATTTTCATTACTACGGGAACCATCAATCAAGAGATCTACATCCAGGAGTGCCTGGAAAAGCGGCTGCTACCATTCCTAAAGCAACATAATAGACCTGTGCTCTTCTGGCCGGACTTGGCGAGCTGCCCCTATGGGAAAAAGGGAGTGGTACGATACGAACAACGTGGTTGTGGTACCTAAATACCACAACCCTCTCAATAGCCCAGAACTCCGCCCTATCGAAAGGTATTGGGCCTTGGCCTTGGAATCTCAAAAAAATTAATAAATCCATGGAAATCGAGCAGCAGTTTACATCTAACTGGCGTTCGGTGGCGAATAAGGTCGATGAGACCACTGTGCAAAATTTAATGGAAGGGATTAAGCGGAAGGTACGACAGTTCGGATTTGGCAAACCAAAAGAATAAAAGAACATTTTTCCTTTAAATATATGAATTGAACTACCAAAAAGAAATAAGAAGATTTTTGTGATATGAATTTTGACTGAAAGAAACGATTTTTTTTTGTCGACCAATTTTTGCGCGTTCCAGCCTTTATAATCACC